ACCCCAAATACATGCCTATGCTCAAGAGAAATGAATTTGGAGTTACCTGACAGCATGAATCATTCATACCACTTAGTGTGGGTAACCCCAGCTCAGTGAGTATCAGTTAACCTCAGGGCAGAAGGCTTCAGAGGAGCCCGAAGGAAACTGAGGTGGGCAGAGTTAAACCAGCTCCCTGTCTTCTGGGAGTGGGGCTTGGGATAGAGAAAGGAAAAAGGGTAACTGCCAAACTGGGGTTAAGAGAGTTCACCAGCTCACTCTGCCACCCACAGGCCTTGGACGATGCCAATAAGGGCATCATTGAAGAACTGAAGGAAACTAACTACAGGGAGAACCTCAAAGAAAAGAAAGAGAAAGGTGAGTTCCTGGGACCGTGTAAAATTCAGCTTCACAGTTCTCCCTCTGCTTTCTCTTCTGTCTGTCCCAGCAGCTCCTCTAGGCCAGGGGCTTGGTGCTGCCCCTGAGCCTTCTGATTTCAGCGCTGCCCCAGCCTAGGCCCCAGCCTTTCTGGTCAGCACCCTTGCTCCCTGGGGCAGGTTTGAACCTAGGCGGTCTGGCTGGAGAGCCCACTCATTTAGTCCTTCAGTTAATTCATCAAACATTTGAGAAGCACTTGTCATGTGCCAGGAAGGTGTTAGAATCTGGAGAGACAGAGGCTCCCTCGGCCCCCCGCGCAGAGGAGCCCATAGCCCAGCAGGGAAGACAGAGTTGTCAGCGAAGGGGATCTTGCCCTGAGATCCCCTCTAAGTGCTGTTGTAGAGGTGGAAATGCATTGCTCTGAGAGCGCATACAAAGGAGCACTGTGTTTCTGGGGAGATGGAGAAGGCTTCAAAGAGGAAGAATCACCTGATTCAGGCTCCAAAACTTCTTTGCACCAGGAGTTCTCCAGGTGAGAGGTGCAAGCAGTGGGAGGGGGATTCCAGCAGGGAACATCAGGAGCAAAGACACAGGCCTGATAGCAACTCACACTTCGGGGCCCTTGCTATGTGCCAGGTTAAGCACCAGACAGGAGTGACCTCATTCAGAACCCACCACCTGAGGAGGTAGGTATTGTTTTGGAGAAAAACAGAGGCTGAACAATGTTGACTAACTCGCCCGGGGCCCACGGACAGAAGGGGAGAGCTGATCCACAGCCCGCACCCTTTTCTGCTCACTGGCGCTGCTCTTGGACCAGCAGAGGGTAGGGCAGGTATGGGAGCGGCACGGGGAGGGGGGGGGTGCGGTGCCGAGGCGGCTTTGTCTGGTTTTGCCTGAAAGCCGTGCTCCACTGGCTGGTCTGGCCTTATGGCGCTCTTTCCCACAGGCCTCCAGGGAGTGAATAGGCCTGCAGACCCCATATCGAGTGGGCCATCAAGGTGCCCTGGCATCTCCCAGCCCACTGGGTGGAAGGGGGAAGGAAGGGGAGGCAGGCGGTTGAGAACCCAGCCCCACCTGAGTCGGCAGCGCGCCCCAGAGGAGCATAATCGCTGCCCCGCTCAGAGCTTCCCACATGCCAGCCACTCTCTTAGGGCCTTATGCGCACGAGCTCATTGGAGCCTCCCAGAAACGCTGTGAAATAAGTTCTGGCTTGATTTTACGGAGAGGATGGTGTTTTTCAGTCTCGGGCAGCCTGACTTGAGAACCCAAGTTTTTACATGGTTCCATACTGGTCTGGCTGCCCCTCTGGTGCCCTCCCGCCAGCCATGCTGTGGTGAAGGGGAGCCAGATTGGTGGGGTGGGGCCTTTGTGCACCCAGGGGACAGAGCCCAGCCCTGGGGACCTGTTCTTCCCATAGTGCAGATCCTTAGCTGCAGCCCTCCAGGCTCTGAGGCTGAAATCCTCTCTGGTCCAAGCAAGGCAGTGGGAACCTGGGAGTGGGTTCTGGGCACCTGAGCAGCCCGATGACAGCCCTTTATTATGGAGCTGGTGGCGTAGTGGTTAAGAGCTCCACATGCCCTTGGAGCTTCTCTAAGAAGGCACGGAGCACTAGATGTGAAGAGAGTCAGTAGGGAAACAGCAGATGCTCCAAGCAGCCTCTCTCCCTTCCTCTCTCCCCTCCCCTGGGACAGGCCATGTGCTGCCGAAGTTGTGCTCCCAAAAACTCCTTGGAAGGCCCCGCAGCCAGGGGCAGCTGCTGGGCACTTCCTTCTCAGGACGGCAGGCGGCAGCATTGTCTATGTTTTCACCCACAACGGCTGCCTTTTCCTGCTGTGAGGCCTCTAAGCAGCATTGCAGGCATCTTAGAGACCAGGGGCTTCCCGGAAGAAAGTGTGGGGGTACTCAGCAGGGGACTGCTGATTCTTCTCTCTAACTGCTAAAAGCAAGGAGCAAGGATCCCTTTGGTTGTAAATAGCTCCCCAGCTGCTAGCAGCCTGCTCACATGTTCACAGGAGACCTCCCAACAAAGAAGGAATGCGCTTCCCAGGGACAAAGAGAAATGTCTTGTAGGGAAAAGAGAACATGCTCTGGGGTCAGACTGTCCTGGGTTCAGATTCTGACTCTGATATTTATTTACTTGCATGGTGACCGTTGCATGTGATTTCTCTGTAGTCAATCTCAGGTCCCTTGACTGCAAATCAGATCAAGGGTACTGTGCAGCGTTGACAACTGAATGGTGTAACCTGCACGGCGCCTCTCATCATGCCTGGGACCAGGCTTGTGCTCAGTAATTGGTGGTTCCCTTTCTCTTCTTTGTGGAAGGTGTGCTGTCAGCCACAGACAGACAGAGCCTGTGAACATGGCCATTCTCAGGGCCTTTTCTCGGCTGTCTCTCAGATGCACAGGCCTCCGTAGGCTGGGGCTCCCCTAGGCCCAAAGCTGAACAAACTTTGATCTTCCCTTCTTTCTCTTGTTTTTTCAGAAGAGACCATGGAATTGGATGATGCCACAATGATGGCAAGGAGGCTTACTGAGGAGAAGATCAAACGCGTGAAAGAGGAACCTGAGAAGGTGATGAAGCAGTGGGAGAGAGAACCTGCTGAGGCAGACGACGACGACGAGCTGTTCAAGGCAGACCTGAAGAGCTCTGCACTTGGGCTGGAAGACAGCAGGCAGAGACTAGAAGCAGAAAGCACCAGCTCCTCAGGAAGAACAGAACTGGGGGCGATGGAAAGACGAGATTCAGGAGAAGTTGGCAAAAGACTGTCTGGAGAATTAGGCAGAAGAGAATTGGGAGAAACAGGCAGGAAACTATCAGATGCAGGCAGAGGAGAGTCGAAAGAGCTGGGAGGGCTAGGAGACACGGGGAACACAGAAAATTCTGAAGAGATGGGAGAAGACAGAAAGGAGGATGAATGAAGCCTTGTTAACAGGTGTCGGGGTCAGGAGGCTGGAGCTCACAGGGATGATGGGGTCTCGGCAAACTGGATTTTCAAGCTGAGATTTGTTGTTAATAGGGGAAAATGGGGGACTGGGCCCTGCTGGTCACCTCTGCCTCTTTCTGTCACCATTTTCCCTTTAAATATATAACTTTCACTCCTGTAAACCCTGAGTTTATCATTTTGCCTCCTCACTCCCACCCAGTCTCAGAAGAGCCTTAGAGAATGAATCAGTGATGCTCGTGTGGGTACCACTTTGCAAGCAGAACTCTTGTCCCAGAATCCCAAACAAGGCCTGACCAAGAGTGTGACCGAGGTGTGGAATGAAGCCCTCTCCCCCAGTCCCTATCCTAGGACCTCATAGAAGAGAAAGGCGCTAAGAAATGTTTTCAAGAGGGTGAAGAAACAGGTGAGCTCTGAAGAACCCAGGAAGCTTGACAGGAGGAGGAAGGAGAAGGGCTTGGGAACAGCTGTGTATCTGCCCAGCCACTGGCCATTGGTTCATTTCGCTGAGCCCTGCTGTGCACAGGACACTGTGGGAGGCTTTATGGAGAAGTGATGATACGATAGGCTCAGCTATCATGCGATGGAGGAGGCCGACTTGTCGACCCTTAAGCCTTCAAAGCAGAGTGAAATGAATGCTGGAACTGATAAGGGGCCATTTTGCTCTAGAAGCCCAGAGGAAGAAAGATGGCCCTTTGAAAGAAGGGGGGATGAGCCTGCGAGTTGGGGAAGCAGCCGGACTCTGCTGATATGACTCCCAGTGGTATGACCAAGTAAATCAAATTCTCCAGGCTTGTCTCCTCCTCTGTAAAATGGGATAGCTGCCTCAGGGATTGGTGTGAGGGTAAAATGAGTGCTTAGCACAGCACATAGCACACTGCAAGCTCTAGAAAATCGAACCCAGGGTTGAGTGGGTCCCAGAGGAGGCGGCAACTAAGCAGCTGGCCTTAAGAGAATGAGTGAGGATTCCATTATGCTGTGTCCCTTTGGTTCTCTCCCCAGTCCGTAGAAGGGTTGGGGTTGCAGCTGACTTTAGGCTGGGGTACAGCAGGGGACTAGGGTGAGGTGAGTGAGGTATTGCCCCCAGCCAAAATTAAAAACAAAACCCCAAGCCAGTTGCTGTGGAGTGATTCTCACTCGTGGCGACCACATGTGTTCTAGAGTAGAACTGTGCTCCACAGGGTTTTCAGTGGCTGTGATCTTTCAGAAGTTGATCGCCAGGCCTTTCTAACAAGTTGCCCCTGGGTGGACTGAACCACCCACCGGTTGGTTAGTAGCCAAGCGCTTAACCATTTGCCCCACCCAGGGACTCCAGGTGGCGCCAAAACACTCGGTAATCAAGACAGATAATATATAACGCAAAATTGTAAAAAAAAAAAAAATTAATGCAAACATCCATGATGAATAAAAATCAACATTTTAAAGACAGGTTCTGACCCTGTCCTTGCACGACCCTGCCTCACTCATCCCATCCTAATCCTAGCCTTGCTCCGGGGGTGGTGGTTTGTTTCCCTAGAGTAAATCATTAACAAGCACAACAAAAAAGAGACCGAGTAAGTTCTCCCTGCCGCCCCCGGTCTTCGAGGGCACAGGTGCAGCACTCCGCGCTGCCGGGAACCCAGGAGCTTCCTCCCAGCGCGGAGGAGCTTTGAGTTTCGATTTCGCGCGCCTGCGCGCAGAGGGGGCCGGCCCGCCCTTGCCCCTCCTTCGGGGTATGTAAAGCGGCGCGGCCTGGGGTTGTTTCACCGCTCAACTCCCGTGTCCCTCCGCGCAGGCGGGCGGTCCCGGAGAGCGGGTCCCTGCAAAGGCGGCGACGGCGGAGCCCTTTCCTCATCATGGTAAGCAGAGGGGTGAATGCAGGGAGGGGAGGGAAAGAACTGGGCCGGGCAGAGGGCTAGCGCCGTAATGGAAAGCCAGAGTATTTTCGGGTTCTCGGGAGGAAGTGGTATGCAAATGAGGATCGAGGTTCCGGAGTTGAGCGCTAGCTTTCTTGGGAACCGGATGCAGTCCTAAGGTAAGGGAGAAATGGGGAGGTATGGGAGGAGTGAGGGCGGGAGGAGGAAGACGATGGGAAACCTAGACAGCGTGTGGGTGTGAGCAGCTGTTTACAGCGACGGGACCCCTGGCCTGGTTTCGACCCCCGCGCTGGTCTGCGCACGGACAGCCTTTCCTCGCCTTCTCCTGCCCAAGGGCCTGTCCGCTAAAACATTATGCCCGCTGAGAGGTGCTCAGGGAGGCGGAGCCAGTTTGGAAGAGAAGACGGTTTATACACTTGTGGCTTTTAAGAGCGCTGATGGCGCAGTAGTTCAGTGCTGGTCTGCTGACCGAAAGGTGGGCGGTTCAAACCCACCAGCCGCTCTCGGGGAGAAAGATGTGGTAGGCTGTTTCCGTAAAGATTTACAGCCTTGGAAACCCTATGGGGCAGTAGTTGCTGCTGTGACTTACAGGGTCACTGTGAGTCGGAATGGACTTCACAGCAGTGGGTTTTGGGGTTGTGGCTTTTAGCAGATAGGAAGTGGCTCAGAGAGGTGCTGGTGACACATAGCAATGTGGGGGGCAGAGCTAGCCCCTGAACGCAGGTGCCTGTGCTGCCCAGTTCTGGGACAGGCACAAAGACCGCGACTTTGTGGGGGCAGAGAGAGGGCAGGAGGAGGTGGCAGGCATGGTGAATGAGGCCCTTTGTCCAACGTTCTCCTGCCCTGCCCCCACCAGCCCGTCTGTGGGACCATTGTCCCCTCATCCCAGACAAGAGAGTATTATCTGTTGCTGCAATTGTTGGGGGCAGGGAGGCAGTCTTTCCGTAACCCTCCTCCCTGCCTCCCCAGTGCACACACTGAGGCAGGGCAGCTGGTCTGCCCAGATAGAGAAACCCACCTCCAAAGAGGACATCCTTAATAGTTGCCAAGAAGATAAAAATTAGGCCCAGGCTGTAGAACCACAGGCTTCAGGCCCTCCCTGCATGCACTTCACCGTGTCTTCCTTTTAGAGGTGGAAGCAGTGAGTGATCCTTGGTGTACCACTCACTCTGGCAGGAGGGAAGCGAGAGTGTAGGTAGGCTGGGGCAGCTTCCCTCTCCATCCTCCACTCCCAGGAGTAGATAGGTACTCACAGGGACTAAAAGGAGGGGCATAGTTTTTTTTTTTTTTGTCAGTTGCTGCCCAGTCTGCTTTGACTCACTGTGACCGCGTGTATGTTAGAGTAGAACTGTGCTCCATAGGGTTTTCAATAGCTGATTTTTTTTGGAGGGGAGGGGGAGATAGACTGCCAGGCCTTTCTTCCGAGGCACCTCTGGGTGGACTTGAGCTTCCAACCTTTCATCTATAGCCGAGTGCATTAACTGCACCACCCAGGGACTCCGAGGGGCATGGTAGGCCCTAGAAAAGTCCACCACTCCACCACTTGGGAAGGCGCTTTCAACCCCAGGGGCACTTGTAAACCAGGGTTGGGGAGCCAGGTTAGAACTAGGCCTGAGATAACGGGCAAGGCTGGGAGGGTGACTGCTGGTGGTGACCTGGGCTGACATCTGATCTTCCCTTCCTCACGCAGAATAGAGGTTTCTCCCGAAAGAGCCACACGTTCCTGCCTAAGATCTTCTTCCGCAAAATGTCATCCTCGGGGGCTAAGGACAAGCCTGAGCTGCAGTTTCCCTTTCTACTGGATGAGGAGACGGTGGCCACGCTGCAAGAGTGCAAGACACTCTTCATCTTGCGCGGCCTGCCAGGAAGTGGCAAGTCCACACTGGCACGCATCATCACAGACAAGTACCGTGATGGCACCAAGATGCTGTCTGCTGATGCCTACAAGATTACCCCTGGCAGTCGTGGAGCCTTCTCCGAGGAGTACAAGCGGCTGGATGAGGACCTGGCTGCCTGCTGCCGCCGGGACATCAGAGTGCTTGTGCTGGATGACACCAACCATGAGCGGGAGCGGCTGGAGCAGCTCTTTGAAATGGCTGACCAGTATCAGTACCAGGTGGTGCTGGTGGAGCCCAAGACGGCATGGCGGCTAGACTGTGCCCAGCTCAAGGAGAAGAACCAGTGGCAGCTGTCAGCCGATGACCTGAAGAAGCTGAAGCCTGGGCTGGAGAAGGACTTCCTGCCACTCTACTTCGGCTGGTTCCTGACCAAGAAGAGTTCGGAGAGCCTCCACAAGGCTGGCCAGATCTTCCTAGAGGAGCTGGGGAACCACAAGGCTTTTAGGAAGGAGCTTCGACAGTGTAGGTGGCAGGGCTGGGGGTGGCAGGGAAGCTAGGTCCCTGCGCCTCACTCTCTAGCCCAGCAAACCCTGGGCACCAGGTGCCGCGTGCACAGGACCATTGTTCTTAAAGGATTGGGAGCTGAGCGGGGAAGGCAGATGGGGGCTCACCTGATACGAGGCAGAAGCAAGTCGGTGCTTACTAGAGGTGGCCTTGGGTAGTGGCAGCACAGTGGGAATGTGGAGACAAGTGCTTCCCAGAGCACCTGCCCTCCCAGTGCACCTTCCTGCCCTCCTCTTCTCCCAGGCTGGGTCCGGACCACTGTCCCTGTCTCAGAGGTGGGAAAAATTACTGTCACAACAATAAGTATGTCACCATACGATACAGCCTTGGAAAATCTGGTCCAATGTTTTCAAAATCATTTTTAGCAGCAGAACCATTTTCTAAAACAAAATACTACATGGGATCCTAAGGTAAAAAAATTAAAAATAGGACTCTTCTGACTTTCTTGGGGATGGTTCCCAGACCTTGAGCTGCCCACCTTCCTCTTGGCCCCCAACATAGCTCCATGGCATCCCAGGGCTCCAGAGAGAATCTCAAACCAAGACCCAAACTTTTTGTTTTGCAGACAGGGAAATGGCTATGGGATTTGCCCTAAGCCACTTGAGTGTGGGGCCCTGGACTCCGGGCCAGGTTCTCTCCTGGCAAGGCTGTTTGTGCCCACAAGAGGGTTGGTTTGGGACAAGGAAAGCCCCTGGCAGCCCTCATTCTCCTGCGGGGGCCTGTTGGAGCTCTGTTACCCACTGTGTCTTTAACCCATTTCCAGTTCGCAAATTTTTGATGATCTTCGTATCTGAACTATCCACACCCATGTTTCTTTATGTTAGCTTGTATGGCTCAGAGGCAGGTAATTTGTGCCAAAGTCCTCAGATAACTGTCTTCTCAGCTCCTAAAGCCTGAACCGCTGGGAGATCAGGGAACCTGGGTGCCTGCAGGACACTGGCCAGAGCTGGTGGCTCTGCCTTGGGAAATGATAGCCTCTCAAAAGCTTTTTCTGCCTGACATATAGCAGGAGAAATGTAATGGGACAAGAACAAAGCCTGCTCAGGGCAGATGTCCTCCGCCCCTGTGGAGGGTGGGGGAATTCCTTGCAGGGACTCGACTCGGGGATAACCAGAAAAAACCTAGTGACTCTGAAGACAGCCACAGGCTTGGAGTCTGGAAATTGGGATCACAGTCTAAAACTTACTGTGTCTATGGACCACACGATGCTACCCCATTAGATCCCAAGACCCTTCTTGTACTGGGTCCATTTTAGGCTCTCATTCACAAACAGCCCCGTGAGGCATGTATTATTATGGGAGTCATGTAACATCTCATCCAGATGGACCCAAGTGAAATGGGGTGCTACTAATAGTTCCCAGGTGGTCACCCTAGTTGCTGCACTTGACTGACAGAGTGGACCACCTGCCCCAGGTCAAACAGCTATCCAGTGGCAGGGCTGGGATGTTAATGTTCTTTCTGGCTGTGAAGCCTGTGGTCCTTCTGCTGGACCACCATGTTTCCAACCCTCTTTTTTCATTCTACCCTACTGTTTGTGACCTGCTGGTAAATCTTTAGCTTATATTGCCCACCCCACAAGTGCCTGAGAGTTTTCAAGTCTGGGGAAGAGATGTAAACATCTATATAAGTAAAACCAGGGAACTTAAACGCCTAATATAGCTCTAAAGTTGCTGTTTGACCACCTAACTAATGAATTATAGTAGATTGCACAAGAATTTATGCTTACTGTCCAGTTTTTTCCCTCTGGGCCTCCGTGGTCTTGGTGGTCGGTGTTGGTATGGCCCCTACTCTGACTGCCACTCTCCCTGCAGTTGTCTCTGGGGATGAGCCCAGGGAGAAGATTGACCTGGTCATCTACTTCGGGAAGAGACCCCCAGGCATGCTGCACTGCACAACCAAGTTCTGCGACTACGGGAAGGCCGCTGGGGCAGAGGAGTACGCCCAGCAGGATGTGAGTTCTCCCCAGGGATGCCGGCTGAGGTAGAGAGGGTATGAGGGGAGGGGTACAGGGTCTTCTGGAGATGGGTACCAGTACAAGGCAAGGACCTACGAGAAACTGGTCAGCAGCTCAAGACCAGTGGCACCTCTTCCTCCAGCTCTCCCCTTCCCAGGCATAGCTGCATAAATTTCTGGTTGCCTTTTTGAGGAGCCAGCCAGGCAGTATCGCTTGCCCATGAGTGCCTTTCCTTCTGAAGATTCACGGAGAATGCTGCTGTGCAGCAGACTCCTGTTCCGGCCTCTCTGAGCCCGCATTAAGTTCCAGAGGCTTTACCCCCTAGGGAGCCTGGTGCGCCAAGGTTCTTGTCCCCAAGTCTGAGGCCTGGCTGTGGGCTACCAGACGTTTCCCCACCATACAGCCAGTATCCTGTGCCCGCAGCCACTGATAGTGATCCTTACACACCAGACGTGTCCTCAGATAGGCATGGCTTCAGTGTCACCTCGGGAGGCCTTCCCTGACCTTCCCTGTCTCTGCCTAGGTTCACACAGCTATTTTACTTACTTGTTTACTGGTTTTCTCCAGCTGGAATGGAAGCTCCCTGAGGGCGAAGGTGTTTTGGTTTTGTTCCCCGCTGTATTACTGTCCACTACCATCTCTAACAGTTCATTCATTCAGCAATACTTATGAAGCACCTATGACATGCCAGACACTGTTGGGACTAAGAATTATGAGCAAAAATAGAGAAGCTTTTATGGTCAGTTGGGAGAGACAAGTTTTCTCAATCAGATATAAACCAAAGTGTAGAGTGGATTTCGATCGATGGCATTTGTCTGATCTCACTCTGCCCTCCAGGGTACTGCCTGTAGTAATAACAATAGCCCTTGCTGATGTTATGCTAAGCTCCTTCCAAACTTTTCACTCCTTTAATCTTCACAGTAACTCTGCAGTAGTTTCTAGTACTCTCCCTCCTTATAAGTGAACAAGCCAAGGCACAGAGAGGTTAAACGACTGGCTCCAAACCACACAGCTAGTAAGTGGTGCAGGTTGGTTCTGAACTCAGGTGGTCTGGCTTTTGACCCCTGCTCTGTCCGGCCTCTCTGAGCACCTCTGCACATTAGCCTGAACAGTGTAGTGGGAAGACACCCTCTAACACACGGGTGCTCATCCCAGATGTTTGTGGATGGTGTGCCTTTAAGCACAGCCTCTGCTCAGTGCTCACTCCTGTCAGACTCACCCTTCCCTCCTCTGGGAGTGACCCACCCTCCATCAGCTGTCCCTCTCTCAAGGGCCCCTCTTTCTCACTCCCCAGGTGGTAAAGAAATCGTACTGCAAGGCTTTCACGCTGACCATCTCTGCCCTCTTTGTGACTCCCAGGACGACTGGGGCCCGGGTGGAGCTGAACGAGCAGGAGCTGCTGTTGTGGCCAAATGATGTGGACAAGCTGTCACCCTCTGACAGCCTGTCTCGGGGGAGCCGCGCGCACATCACCCTAGGGTGTGCAAATGACGTGGAGGCCGTGCAGACAGGCATTGACCTCCTTGAGATTGTGCGGCAGGAGAAGGCGGGCAGCCGTGGCGAGGAGGTGGGTGAGCTCCACCGGGGCAAGCTCTACTCCTTGGGCAATGGGCGCTGGATGCTGAACCTGGCCAAGAAGATGGAGGTCAGGGCCATCTTCACGGGGTACTACGGGAAGGGCAAACTTGTGCCCACACACAGCAGCCGGAAGGGGGGCACCCTGCAGTCCTGTACCATTGTCTGAGTACCCTCTCACCACCTGCCCCCCGCCCTTGCTCTGGGGGGTGAGGGGGAAGACATCTCTCTGCTTGATCCCCATTAAGGTTTTTTTTGTTTTTGTTTTTGTTTTTTAAAGTTAACCTCCTGTAACTTCTTAAAAACTTGTAAAATAACTGACCTTCTCTTCTTGTCCACCCTCTTCCTCTCTAACACCCAAGCCCTCAACACAAGGAGGGGTGAGTAGTAGGCACCATTCAGGAACCTGGGCCAAAGCTGATGAGGCCGGGCGAGCTAGGCCTAGCTAGAGCTGCACCCAGATCTGAGCCCTGCTTCCAGTTACTAGTTAGCCCAGCCCCTGCCCCCAGCTCTGCTGCTCTGCCACGTGGGCTAGTAAGCAGGGACACCTGAGAGTTGCAGACACCCTGCTGGCGGTGGCAGAAGGCAGCGGGGCTCGGAGTGGTGATACTGCCATGGAACACTAGTGGTGGCTCTGGGGTGGGGGATCCTTGGGGTTTGTCCCTTTCTTCATCAGCACAGCCCCACGAAGGCAGGAGCTGTTTACCAGGGTAGAAAAAGGGGTTAACTTCCCACCTTTGGTCCTAGGTTCCTCTCCCCTTCTCCTTCACACCTTAACTAGGTAAGTTTGATAACTAGGGAAGAAAACAGAACAATAACCAGGAGCCACATCCCAGGCTTCCGGCTGACCTCACCTCAGGAAGGGGATGGGGTCACCATCCTTCCCAGTGGTGGGCATATCGAGGCCAGCACAGTCTATCGGTGGGGACACACCAGTCTTGCTTTCAGCCCAGCTCATCTTGCCTCCATGGTGTCTCTGGATGGAGGCCTCATACCTCCTCTAAAGGAACTAGTGGGCACCAAGATCCAGCGGAGCATACCCCTGGTTCACCTGTTTCTCTGGGAAGGGATTTTTAACAGTTACATGTGCATGGTTCCTGGGTGCCCCCCACTGCCCTCTGCTCAATAACAGGGCTTTGCTAATCAGGTTGTTACTCAACAAAAGTATGTGGGATTAAGTTACTATCCTGGCCTTGCCCAACTTCAGCAACTTGTAAGACTGATAATAAATCATGTTAATCCTAGCTGTGTGCAGTCTCTCTCCCCTTCTGTCCCCACAGCTTGGGGCCATCGGTCCTATCTCCCCTCTGCTGGCTGGACACAGCTGTGGTGAGGTTGGGCAGCTGAACAGTGTTGGCTTTCATGAGGAGGCAGAAAGGAAAGAGGCTGGTCTTAGACTCACCAGAAGGTGGGGGTTGGCTGGGTATGAGGGACATGGAGCACAAAGCCTCTCACCCCCACTCCCCCACCATTAACCAGCACAAGGGACTCACAGGTGTCCCCAGCCCCATCCAAACAGACTTTGCAACAAGATCAAAGTTCCTAGTTGGAAAGGCCACTCTGGCCACCTCAAGTCAGTGCTACTTCAAACATCAGGGAAGAACTAAGATTCAGAGTCCTTTCCAGGCCAATAGGGCTTGGCTGGACAAAGGGGGGACTTCCCAGGCCTAACATGGTCATCATTTCACCATGGCCTTGCCACCAGAGCAGGGAGACTGGAAAGAAAGGGGCAGGGACTCAGAAGGAAGAGAAATCGTAAGTTACCTATCTGGTTCAAGGCTCTTCCGTTATTTCAACTACCTAGCACCAAAACTACAGGCTTCAGTCAAAGCTTCAAATGCTTCTGTCTAGAGCTCCTAAGCATGTGACCACAGATACCAAGCTTGACCTGAACAGCACAGCCTGCACCATGTCTTCCTTCCCCAGCTCACCTCCTCCATGCAGAAGGGGAAACCAGTGGAGAAGGCAAGGGCTTCTAAGAATGGTGTTTCCAGCTGTGAGTCTGATGTCAGCAGCCAGACCCCTGGGCTCAGGAGCCACCTGTCCCACTTTGAAAGGGGCTAGGGAGGCAGGATTTCATCCTTCTCTTAGTCTCGCCCACAACTGGCAACAGGAACCGTGAGTCTGTGTAGACAGCCCTGTCTAGGTTAGCCCAGCCTGATGCTTAGCACCCACCCATACTCAGGTGAGCTGTGGGCGCACAGAGTTTCTAGCTCTTTCTGGTGGCCCCCACCAAAAAATGAGCATGTTTTCTGAACCCACCCCCATGACTGACATCAGGCTGGGCTCAGCAGCACACTCCGGGCCTGCTCAGCACCCCACATGCCACCAGACTCTGGGTGCCCACACCCCTGTGGGGCAGCCTGCTGAGTCTGAAGCCCACATCGGGATCAGACATGGCCAGGAGCTCAGCTCTGGCCCACTGACTCTGGGGTGACACAAAGCAGCTGCCAGAGCAAAGAGCCAGAAAGGGTCAAAACATTTTATTCTCTTCATTTTTTCTTCTTTCTTAATAAAGTTAAACAGTACAACAAAAATTCACAAGCTGCCTCCCTGTCCACCCCCCGCCTCCCTCCCCTACCCGCAGTCTTCGGCGCTGGCTCCCTCTCCTTCACCCTGCTCACACAGACAGAGGTATCCAACTGAGAAAATGAAACTGCTCTAAGTACATAGAGACATGATGAAGGGAGGAGTCGAATTGTGTCCATATTCAAGGTTAAACTGAGCAAGTCTGCATTTCCTAGGTTCTGGGTGGCTGGTTTCCTTTCATTAGCCAAACTGAAAAAAGAAATTCCCTGGACCAGATGCTGGAAGGGAAAAGAAGGGCTTGTTAGCTGGCTCTGGATTTTTGAAGGAAGATCACTTTTCAAACCAATTGCTGATTATGGAGAAGTCTTCATTCAGACATAAAAATCAGCTCTACAAGATGTCAAGCAGCCTGGGCCTGGGGTGTGAGAGCTCATGAGAGATGCGTCCACAGCTTTAGAACCCTGCACCCTTGCAGAACAGCTCTGGTAAGCAGGCAGCTCAGCAACACCTCCTGACCCTGAGGGGCGGTATTAATGGTCCCAAGGCAAGGTGCGCCTGGGAACCGTCCCTCCTCCATCCTCAGCTAAGTCAACACTTGAGTGGGCAGATGTCCTGCTAGGTAAGAATTCAGCTGCCTCCACTCATGGCACCCTGACTCTCAAAAGAGCTGCCTGAGGAGTCACGGTGTCCACTTGGCATACCCACCTTCAAAGCTGAAGCCCCCGGGACCACCGAAGAATGCCTTGAAGATATTATTTGCGTCAAAATCTGTGGAGCAGGGCAAGTAACATGAAAGGAAGAAAAAAGTGACAAAATTAGAAGTTTCTGAGGAAGAACTTAATCATGACCCTGAGAATGGGTCCCCAAACCTTTCCCAGATATTACCACCTCCCTCCTTTCCTGACACTTCACAGATTGGAGGTAAGCAAATCTGTCCCAACCTATGCAAACTTATCACTTGATGCCACTACTAGAATACACTCCCAAGTCTTTGTGGGAAATTAAAATCTGTGAAGGCTTCTAGGAATACTTGACATACATAAACCTTGGTCAGCATACACTTTGCGGTGGTTAAAAAAGTCTAGCCAACAGGATAAAGCCCATATTCCTTACTATAGCCCTTTAGGGCTTCTGAAGCCTGATCCAGCTCCTCTAGCCTTATCTCTCACCACCACCTCCCTCTAGCACCCTACCCCACTATCCCATACTGAGCTGCCTGCAATCCCCCAGAGGTGCCGTGTGTTGCCACTCTCCAGCCCTCCCTTGCCAGTGCTACCACAGGACCTCCTGCTGCCCACTCTGCACCTGCTATGTTGTCCTGCATTTGACTCTGTGGCTATCAGCGCTCTAGGCCAGGGGCAGGATTTGGCCTGTGGGCTCCTTCCGGTCAGGGACCTTGTGTGAGTCATCTTTGCATCCCCAGCACAAGGGACAGTACCTCACACATCACAGGTGCTCATCAAGTGTACACTTCACAAACCACTGAGTATCTAGCTGATTATATACAAACTCTCCCTTTGGAGTATCTCTGGAAAAATTTCTAACATTCCACAACCCTCAGAGTCCTCCCAGGCAGCCCCCACCAACTCACCACCCATGTTCATGCCTTCCTCATCCAAGTCCTGTCCGCTGTCATAGCGAGTCTTTTTCTTGGGATCCGAGAGGATAGTAAAGGCTTCTCCAACTTCCTTGAACTTTTTCTCCTCCTCCTTCTGAACTTCAGCACTGGCTCCACTGTGCCGATCTGGAGGGAGGGGTGAGGGAGACTGCCAATGAAATCAGAGTCTCAAGAAAACAAAAGTTTAAGAGAAAGACCACTTTATGTCTGATTTTGGAATTGGAGACTATGGGACTTAACCTTGACCCAGCTGAAGCGCCTCTCCGAGGCTCTTACTCTAGGTTGGGTATGGCGAAGGGCCTGGCCTGCTTGCTCTTCCCCAGCCTCTCCCCCAACCCGCTCTACCTGGATGATGCATCAAGGCCCGCTTCCGATACGCTTTCTTGATCTCGTCCTCAGAGGCGTTCTTGTCCACACCCAGAATCTTGTAGTAATCTTTCCTCTTACTCTTCTTCAATTCCAGCTGTGCATTTTTTAGGAGTTGTTTGTGTTCTAGAGGGAGACATCTGGTGTCAGTGGACAAATCTGACTGCAGCTTCCCTTGCTGGGTCCCAGCCCAGTGGCCTTGGAATTCTGAGCCTTCCTAACCACATCAGGGGCTTTTATAGTGCTTTCTTATGGAGGTTAAAAAAAATCTACTCATACTTGGGCTCCTCATATCATCCCCAGCACACAAAAAAGGATGTGGGACCAGAAAATAATCTGTTTACTTCTTCCTGCCTGTTGATCAAATAAGCCTCAGGTTCATCCCTAATCCCTGAATCAAACTATCCCTCTGCCCATCTTTAGGGCCTATAAGTAAGATAAAACAGCTCCCTGAGAAACCAACGATCTCAAACTGCTTTACCTTTTGTTTTCTCCGTCTGATACACTTTTTCATAGTCCCGCACTGCTTCTTCATACTGTTCTGTGTCCATGTAACTGAGAAGGAAATACAGATTAGTACCATGCTCAAACATTAACACAATGGCCTTCAGTATCACTCTAGGGGAAGAGGCATGGCTTAAGCAAGACACACACTTTTGGTAAGATGCTTCATCAGAGGCCCTTAACCTAGCACCAAGAGAAATACTTAGCTACCAATTCCTCAAGAAAGAAAAAGAAACAGACCTCATGGCACTTAAACCCATCCAGCAAAGTGATGCTCTGATCTGAGTGGAAAGCAATTAAGGGGACAAGGTTCCATTTGACACAGAGCCATCAAAGAGACATCTGGACTGCTGGAGGAAAGGCAATGTGAAGGCACCTAGGTGATGACTTGGGATTGAAACAACAGGAGAAAAGTTATCAAGTGAAATAATGGCTACTATAAAAGCACCTAGAGTGCCATAAACATGCAGGGCAGGCTCCGATCCAGAGCAAAAGTGGGGTTAGTGAGCCACGAGGAGGATCAACTCAACAGTTCAAGGTGGTGGCTGGCAAATGCTTCCATTAAGACCGATCAATCTGAGAAATATAGGTACGCCAGATAGAAAAGGAAACTCTAAACACAGGCTTGCTGCTATTTCGGTAGCAGAGAAGCAAAGAGGGGCCTCTGGCCCAAGATGGGAGGAATCTAGCTTAACAGGCCAGCTGCCAGACCTTTAAGTTTCTCTTCCACAGAACCAAGTGGCATTTTCCATGTCCTGATAGGGTAATAGGCAAAAGGAGTGGCCTATCAACTAAACAGACTGGTCAGAGTTTCGAGGCAGGTGCCATCGGCTGGGGAGTGGGAAGTGACCCTGCAGTGCAGCCAGCTGCCACACAAATGAGATTCATTATACTGCTACCACACAAGCCCATCGTTGCAAACACCACAGAGCCCCACCAGGCTTGGGGGCTCGGGCGGGGGAGTGCTACTCACATGGCTGGCAAAAGAGAGGCCTAACATCTTAGGCATCTCTGATTTTTTGGCAACATCTCAATTTAGGACTTTAAAAAAAATGGTGACAAAACACAGGTGGCTGACACACACTGTAAATACTACTAGGAGCCCCGAGAACCTGTATGTGTAATAAGACTTAAAGCTTAGCAGCTTATGAGGAAGAACACTGATAACTGATAGCACTGAGGAGAAAAATCTGCCAAGTGAGTAGTAACCCTGATGACATCTTCAGG